GAAGCATACAAAAAAAGACAAATTGCTAGAATTTCACCAGATGTTTGTGTAATAAAGGTATTTATGGCAGAATTTGAACTAAAACTCATTTCCCCCTGTTAGGGAGGTGGTACAGAGCATAGGTGACATTCACCATGTCTAATTTTTTCTATCACATCAAAGTCATTTGACAACAGCGAGCTGAATTGCTCATCATTCTCTTAGATATTTGAATGATAACTTTAAGGCACTTGCTTGGTGCTACTGGAGATTCAAATAATTTAAGATAAAGTTTTATAAGAAAGGTTAGTTTCTTTTAGGACTCCTGATGGGACTCCCACAGTTTTCTGTTCAAACCTAGCATTTATGATGCAGCATTACAATTGTTTTCTGGTTTTAGGCTCTCCTCAACACAGAGGACAGATAACTTTATTCATGATTTTGTATTTTTAAGACTTTTTTAGAGCAGTTTTAGATTTATAGAGAAACTGAGAAGCTATATAGAGTTTCCAAATATCCCCCCATGTACACACATAATTTCCCATTATTAACATCTTGACAGTAGTATCGTACATTTGTTACATATGGTGGATTAATATCGAGATATTATTAACTGTGGAGTCCATAGTTTTTTCAAATTTACTTAGTTTTTACCTAATGTCCTTTTTCTATTTCAGGATCCCATGTAGGGATCCCACATTGTATTTAGCAATCATGTCTCCTTAGGCTCTTCTTGGCTGTGATAGTTTCTCAGACTTTCCTTATCTTTGATGACCATGACAGTTTGGAGGAGTGATGATGAGCTATGTTGCAGGATGCCCCTCTAGCGGAATTTATCCAGTGTTTTTCTCATGTTCAGACTTGTATTATGGGTATTGGGAGGAAAATCACACAGGTAAAATGCCACTTTTAGTGCATCTTATCAAGGGTACATACTAGCAACATGATCTATCGCTACTGATGCTGACCTGACTAAGATAGTGTTTGTCAGATTTCTCCACCATAATTGTTTCTCAGCTTCCTGTACTGTATTCTTTGGAAGGAAGCCACTATACACAGTCCACACTTTAAAAGTAATTCAAGAGGAACCTGGGTGACTTAGTTGGTTACACGTCTGACTTGAGCTGAGGTCATGATCTCATGGTTCGCAATGAACCACATCAGGCTCTGTGCTGAAAGCTCAGAGTCTGGAGCCTGCTTCCAATTCTGTGTCTCCCTCTCTCACTGCCCCTCCCCTGCTCTCATTCTCTCTCTCTCTCTCAAAAATAAACATTAAAACAATTTTTAAAAAATAAAAATTTTAAAATTTGTCATTTAAAATAAAATTATATTTATTTTATTACAATAATTTAATAGGGATTCCTGGGTGGCTCAGTTCATTAAGCATCTGACTTCAGCTCAGGTCTTAATCTGGCTTCTGAGTTCCGGCCCTGCATCTGGCTCTCTTCTGTCAGCATGGAACCAGCGTTGGAGCCTCTGTTCCCCTCTCTCTCTGCCCCTGCCCTACTTGTGCTCGCTCTCTCTCTCTCTCTAAAATAAGTAAAATATCTACAAATAAATAATTAATAAAAGTAACTTTAATAACCTATAATATTGTATGTAAACTACATATGTGTGTATGTACATATGTATTTAATTTACATTATTCATTTGGAATTCTGGTGCATTCATTTACACTTTTTTCTCCAAGGATCAGCATAGTGACCTCACCATAGCAGGATTTTATGGATTGCAAAACTAGATTTGAGCAAACTTTTTTCCTCTAAGAAACCTGGTAAAACTTCTGCATATTAGCAGAAAAAAAATGCCTCATGCTAAACCTCAAAAATTTTTTTAATGTGAGGTAGAGGAGGGAAGATAAATCAGGTGTTTATAGTGGTGGTGACAGCAGATATTCATAGTTTCTTTAAAGGGAAAAGCATTGCATAAATTTCATTATTGTTTGAAATGTTTGTGTCACCCCTTGGGACCCAAACCTCCCACTTCACGATACCAGCTTAGCCATATGACTTACACTGCCCAATAAAATGGCAGCAGAAGTGATGTGTTCCATTTCCAAGCAGAGTCTTTAACAGCCTTCCTGGGGTTACTTCATTCCTCTTTGCCTTCAGCCACAAGTTAGAAATTTTCCAGATGAAGATAGCCGCTTCAAGAAATGAAGGCCATCTCCAAGTGATGGAGGACATAAACACAAATAAGAAATGAACTGCTGAGATTTGGTGATTTGTTACCATACCTTCACCTAACTTATTCATTCTAATTGCAAATTCCCTTTTGGGTTCCTAAATTTGGGTCACCAAATGCTGTTCTTGATTCAGTTCTCATCAGTGATCTCCTTTGGGGTACAGCATTTTAGGACCTGTGTTTACTTATAACACAAATGTGTTTTAAAATGGTTTTCTGTCATGTTTAAAATTAACATTTTTTATGCATAAAAAATCTCATGCTTTGTTATGACATTGTCAACAAAATTAATTGAACACCCACTGTGTGCAGAATAGGAGAGCAGCTACTATAAATTTTTTCTGTATGTTAATTTTTTTCTGTATGCCTTTTAATTTTTTGTTTATATACTTATTTTTTTAAGTTTTGTTTGCCACTGCTCATTTCAAGGGCACTCCTTAACCCCCATCACCTATTTATCCCCTTACCGCATCCACTTCCTTCTAGCAACCATCAGTTTGTTCTCTATAGTTAAGAGTCTGTTTCTTGGTTCTCTCTTTTTTTTTCCTTTGCTCATTTGTTTCTTAAATTGAACATGTGAATGAAAGTATATGGCATTTATCTTTCTCTGACTGATTTATTTCACTTAGCATAATATCCTCTAGCTCCATCCATACCATTGCAAATGGCAGGATTTCATTATTTTTGATGGCTAAGTAGTATTCCACCATATATAGACCACATCTTCTTTATCCATTCATCAAGTGATGGGCACTTGGACTGTTTACATAATTTGGCTATTGTAGACAATGCTGCAATAAATATTGGGGTGCATGTAATCCCTTTGAATTAGTATTTTTGTATTTTTTGGGTAGGTACCTAGTAGTGTAATTGCTGGATTGTAGGAAGTTCTGTTTTTAACTTTTTGAGGAACCTCCATACTGTTTTCCAAAGTAGCTGCACCAGTTTGCACACCCACCAACAGTGCAAGAAGGTTCCTCTTTCTCTACATCCTCACCAAAGGGCGATGCCATTTTAAAAAGTAAAGATATGTATTTACAGGGAAGGGATAAAGAAATTTAGCTAGAAGAATATACCATCAGAGGTATAAATAAAACTTAAGCTCCAGGGACTCTCATATGCACAGGTACCTTTTAAGGCCCTGTATTCATAATTTTGTATTATTATACTTGAAAGGGCTCCAAATATGTATATGCTTTATACCCCACCAAACCTGGCTCTTTCCCTGTTTACTACAAGATAAGAAAAGGTGAAAGCAAAGAGCTATGCACCCCTAAAACTTACAGGTAATACTCCCATAATCTGTTTATCTGACCTCCCAGGGAGAGTTCCATGCAAAGTGGTACTGAAGTTTGGGTTCCTCAGTCATGTTTAAAACTGAATCTGCATATACATCTATAATAAGAGGAGAGTATATTTAGTGTCAGGTACAGCCTAGAAACTACCCAATCTGCAAGGCCAATGTCTGTATACACACCATAGCACCTTCCCATCATGTGGCTTTCATTTTGTTTGTTACCAGAAAAATCACTGAGTACATTATTAGTCCTCTCCACAAAAGTTCTAGTCTTCACTGAGATTTTTTTTCTTGGAAGTCATTTCATTTTGAAAATAATTTTTCTCATGGTTACTGATAATACTTCCTCAGGAAATTTAAGTGACTATTTCATTCTCAATTAATTTTGTCCATTTCTAGGTCTGCAACAATGGATATTGTATTGTTCATCATCTGTTCAGGAATTCCCCATTGAAGGGAGAGGTCTGTGCAGTAATAGAGGTTGTAATGTGACCTATTAAGGATTTCTTTCCCTTGCTAAATTTTGAATGGAATCTGGATGAATATACTGCGTCTATTTTTAATAATTCTTTTCTTATGCAAAAATGTGTGGGTCATAGTGAGGTTTAATCACAACCCATTGCTCATTTATGAAATACTCTGAACTGCAATTAGTCAGATGCAAATGTGAAGGGCTGTTACCATGTGCACATTAGCAGACTGTCAAACCAAGTTTTTGAATTATGAAACAATCAAAGAAAAACCTTTGCTTTATATACTTTCACAGTGAGTTTCTTTTAAAAGAAGAGCTTTCATATTCATTTTTGTAAGTATTTCATATTAAGATACCTCAAATCTATAGTTAATCAGCTTACGTTGAAAGAAAAAGATTTAAAAATCTAGATGTATTATTTATTGGTATATGCTATATTCATACATAAAATTGGTAGGTAAAGTCCTTATTAGAAAATAATTCTTTGGGGCACCTGGGTGGCTCAGTTGGTTGAGTATCTGATGTCGGCTCAGGTCATGAACTCACCATTGGTGGATTCGAATCGCATGTTGGACTCGTGCTGACATCTCAGAGCCTGGAGCCTGCTTTGGATTCTGTATCTCCCTCTCTCTCTCGGCCCCTCCCCTGTTCACGCTCTGTCTCTCTCTCAAAAATAAATAAACATTAAAAAAAAACTAGTTCTTAACTTATAAAAGTTTTGTGCTTTTTAAGTTAGAAGAAGAACACAAACAAATTAATGCTATTTGTGGGTTAATTTTCAATATGCTTGAAGTAATCATTAAGTTATATTTCAGCTCTAATATAATGTTACCTTATGATCTGAAAGCATAAAGCTCATGTTGCCTTTTGAACTTAGCATGTTCACCCATCTGGATACTGTTGTTTGCCATAAGAATAAACCTATACAAATTTTAGGATGCCTTTTTAAGGGAATCTATTTTGAGTCCCTCCAAGAATTAAGGTTTGCTTTCAGCTCTGGAAAATATGAAAAAACAGTGGATTGAGCAAACTAAAAGTTTTATTTATTTATTTGTTAACACTGTAAGAATCTGAAGATAGGAACCTGCTGGTATTGGTTTGGTAGCTCAAGAACAGAAAGGCAAGTTTTTGTGATTTGTCAGGGCCTTTTCCCCTATTGCCACAAAATGTCTGGCATCAGTTCCAGCAATCAAATATACTTTCCAGAGGGTAATGAAAGGGGAGATATAGAAAGGATAACACATTTATCAAGAAAAGCAGAGACTTTCCCAGCAGTCCTAAACAGTCTTCCACTTAGTTCTCCTTGAACACAGCTTTGTCACATCATCAACTCTGTCTGCAAGAGAAGCTGGGATAACAAATTTTATATCGTATTTATTTATTATTGTGTACTTTTCCAGCTTCTATACTAGAGAAAGACAAGGGGAAAAGAGTTTGAATGGGTGAAGGAATCAACCTATAATTTCTGCCATACCCCCAACATTCAGTTTCAAAAATATTGGCATTGACTTTCCCAGAAAATGTTCATTATTCAATATCTTTAAAAAGAATGTGTTTAATGTTGCTCTTGATCTCAGGCTCATGAGTTTGAGCCCCACGTTGGGCATAGAACTTTAAAATAAATAAATGAAATAAGTAAAATTTAAAGAACGTGCTTCATTATAGAACTTCGTAAAGTTTCATATATTCACTATCATGATTTTAGCAATCACATCTAATCCAATTCAATATTATGAATGAGGAAACTGAGAACCAGAAGTTTTAAGTAAACTAGCCCAAGACCACAATAGGTCCTAATTAGTCCAGATTTAGAGCCCTCTCTGATCTAATACATACCTTTTATATCAGTGTCCTCCCCCCAGGGTAGCTAACCTCTGCCTACTCTGCCTTTTCTGTTTAAGTACTAAAAAGAGAGAGACTGAGAGAGGAAAAATAAGAAAAAAGAAAAGGAAAGTACACCTACCATCCTCTAACTTACTCTCTTCCTCTGAGCCAAACTTCATACATGGTAGCATAAATTGTAAAAAGTTTTCCAATACATTTGATATTACTTGGATTAGGATTTAAAGTCAGTTTTACATTATAACTGTCCTTTCCTGGCTTCTCATCCTAAATCTTTTACTGTTAACTTTGCAGTTGCTATTTCAGAGTGTTAAGAACATTAGAATGTCCCTTCCTTTGCTAAAGACAATTGTGATTTCCTGTAAAGGAGTACCTTTTCTTTTCTGTAGTTCCTTATGGCTGCCTAAGAAGACAGGATACATCCATAAAATAGCCTAAAGAAAATTCAAATTTAGAAGAAGATTAATTTGTGTAATGATTATTAACAAAAAAACTATTTGTTTTACAATACTTTTGATCATGGAAAGCTATAATCATATACTATTAAATAAAATTGGAACATGTAGGGGAATTTTTCTTAAAATTTATGAAGTGTTTAAAAAGCTTAATCTCTGGATTTTATTACATAATGAGCTCTTCTAGGGACTTCTAAATTCATAATTTTTATTTTCATGCAATTCAGGAACACATAGAAAGCATTAAGTAGATTAATTCCCATTATTGCCACTCTCTTTTTTAATGATTTGTGGTAATATGGATCTACATTTGAAATACGTAAGCATTATTTCTTCTAAGAAAAGAATAGGAATTAACAGTTTTTAATTTACCTGTCATTGGCAGAAAGTTCTTTAAAAACACTAATATTTTATAATTAGATGTTCATAAATTACCATGTTACTCAGAAAAGTATCAAGATAAACAGCAATGGTAGAACACCGCAGAGGATAACATAGACTTGTGTTAAGGGTGGTAGTGCTCAGAGGTCAAGTCTTTTCCTGGGCAAATGATCTATGAGACCATAGAACATATATTTTACTCCATAAAAGGAAACATAAACAAAGACCTCACATATAAAAGACAGCAAACAAGTAACAGTTTGACACTGAATTCTGATGGCATGAGGAATGTATAAGCTTTTTTTACATTATGCACAAACAATCCTCTAAATCGCAAAGGTTTATTTCATGCTCATGAAACTGATCCTTGTACATTCAGCTACAAGTCTCCTCCATGAAGTGTCTATTTAAGGCCTCAACATATAGAGCACAGTTGTCTTGAAAGTACATTATCTTGGCTTAGAGCAAAGCTATAGTGGTCTTGTGCGATGCTCTAAAAACTTCCCCTTGAAAGTTGTATTTGTCAGTTTTCCTCATGTTTCATTAGCAAAAGCAAGTTACTTACCCAAGTCTAACTTCAGTGATGTGGGAAGTATAATCCTCTCACAGTGAGGAGCCACAATAGTATTGGTAATAATATAATAATAATATTTGGAGTAACTGGGTGGCTCAGTCGGTTAAGCATGCAACTTCGGCTCAGGTCATACAACTTCTGCTCACCCTCTGTTTCTCTCTCTCTTTTTTAAAAATAAAAATTAAAATAATAATATTAATTTATTTATTTAGGATCATCTAAACACTAGGCACTAGACTAGGTGCTAGTACATAGATTATCCCTTTTCATTTTTATAACAACCCTACAATTTGGGTACTAGTAATTGTTACTTTAAGAAGAGGAAATTGAGACAGAGTAAAATTAATTAATGCTAAAAATCCCACAACTAGCAAGTAAACATGGGATCCTAAACTCAGACACAGGCAGTCTAAGTCCAGGATTCAGCTCCTAAACCAGCAAGCTGCAGTTGTGCACAAAGTCCGATTCCACAGTTTATGGAATATGGAATACAGAAGACAAAAGATGCAATATTGAGAAATATGAGATAAACAAAGGAAGTTCATAAGATTTTAATGCTCAGTCAGCAAGTCTTGGTAATACACATATTCAGTAAACTTGATTACTTGCAAAAGCTTTGCAATATCCATAACAGCATGGAAAATGATATTCCTAGAGATTGAGACCAAGAAGACAAAGAAGGTTAATGTGAGACAGACTATGTTTATCAAAAAAGAGCAAAGATCAAGACCAAGGGAACCTAAGAAACTAACCGAGATGAGGATCCCTGGCCTTCCAGATTAATGAAACTACCTTGAGTAGTGTTTAAGCAGTCCCTTCCTTTGTCCTACGTGTATCACTCCAGAATGAGTTAAGAGGAATAGGCATGAGGGTATAGTATTAAAGCCCAAATTTACACAATCACATGAAAGGTATGCAGAATGAATATGCTTATTTTTCAAACACATAACTTTCATTTTTTTCACCCCATCAATTCTTTCACTATGTCCTGCACCCATCAAAATAAGAAAAATCTGATATTATATTCTAGTGCAAATAAATTTCCATTAATTTGCTTTCCAGGGGGAAGATAAGCTCACTGCTGTTACTATAGAATTGTTTCTGGACACTAAATGTGGACAAATGAGTATGTAATGCTGTTAGTTACCTACCTTTCCAGTTTATTGGTACCATTCTTCCTCTACTAACTAACCTAATTCAACTCAGTCCTCTCTCTTTTGCTCCAGCAGGCCCACTTTCTTCTCCTTTTTCTTTCTCTAGCTCCTGAACATAAAGTTGTCCACAACCTGGGGCACCTGGATGGCTCAGTAAGTTAAGCATCTGATTCTTGATTTTGGCTCAGGTCATGACCTTGCAGTTCATGAGATCAAGTCCTGTATCAGGCTCTGTGATTGTGATTCTCTCTTTCCCTCTCTCTCTCTGCTCCCCCCTCAATAAATAAACATTTTAAAATTTAAAAAAAATTGTCACCATGTATTTGCATATGCATGTAGAACTTAATTATCACAAGAACTTATCATATAAAATGTGTATTTCTTTCTTTCCTATTATTCCTGGCTTCTAATTCTGGCTCTCTGATACACTAAAAAGGGGAAACTTTTTTTTAAATTAAGAATTAAATTAGGTTTTGAATATAAACCACATTTTATGGTAAACCACTTACCTTGAATAGACAGCCAATTGAATGGATAAATAAACAAACACAATATTGACTGAGCACATTATTAAATGTGTCAACCCATTTGGGGTTCCAGTGTTAACTATTCACTTACACTCTACTCTTTATCATCTGTGCCTTTGTGTAATCAGTAGTCAGTAGCTAAGTTTTCCAGAGTCACATTTTCACTTTAATTTCAATGTAATTTCAGATTCAAAGTAATCTGATCACATTTTCATTTATAGAGAATATTTCATCCATTCTCTCCATTTCCTGTCTTCTCTGTCTGGCTCTCTTCCCAGAAGACAGGCCTCTGTAGACTACACCAATGGGGCTTCCTTGCCTTTAGGCTCCTGGTTGAGATTTGCCAGTGGAAGGTGTGGAGAAAGAAGTTACACTGGGTATTTAGCCCCATCACTCCAGCTCTGCCTGCTGGGCCATAGTTTGGCAATGACTGCGTTCTTCCTCAGCCTGCGTCTCCTACAAACACAGGTCTCACAGGGGTCTTCTCAGAAGCTCTCACCCATCAACACCTTAAGCTGAGGGACATTCAGAACTTGCTACTATTGCTGCATTGTAGATACTTACTTCTCTGGTACTTGATGACTCCTCTAAACTGTCCACTCCTGTATACGGAGTGACTCAAACCCTCATTACCCCTTTGATTGTGCCATCTGTTTCTGTTTAGATTATAATATAGGCTAAAAACCACCTATCCTAACAATGAAGTTTTAAGTCAGTCAGCCACAAAATGGTCTGATTGCAGCTACCATATAGTTCCATTACCATCACAAGACTAGAACTGAATAATTCTTTTAAGGCACACCAAGGCCTAGAATTACAATGATTTCTGAGAATCTGGGATTTTCCTATCCAATATGATTCAAAGTTTGTATGACATGTGTATATTCCTCTAGGCTTTAACTTCACCATGCAGGGAAGGGTTACTATTTGTGTGTGTGTGTGTGTGCATATGTATATGTATATGTGTTTCAACTTAAGATGCACATGTTTGTCTTCAATGGATATATCTAACACAATAATTACAGTATTGACATGACATGTAGCAAGTTGCACTGAAGTGCATCATATAAAGTATGCGAAGTATGAGCCAAAAAGAAATCTGTATTTGAAGTAGTTGTCTCAGAAAAAGCATTCTGGTGTGTTTTTAGGGGCCACAATTAAAGAAAGCAAGATTTCTGTTAGTCTTCTAAAGAACGTGTTCAGCACTTGCAGCAGGCAAATTTAGAATAGATAGTCTAACACTATAATGAGGTGTTAAGAAACTGGAAGAAGAAGAAGCTTCAGATTTGAGACTAACCACTGTACATAAAGAAAAGGGAAAACTCCCATTTGGTTATTTCATTAGTGTGATGGTTCATGTTAAAAACATCAAACACTACAAAGAGGGAAGTTTGTTGGGGGGAAAAAGTCAAATCAAAAGAAATCATCTTTAAAATTTTCAAAATCATCAGCAAAATACAGCTTACTCAATGAATATGCATTAGTCCCCTAATGCAGTAAAGAAAAGTTTAAACTATTTCTGTGGATTTAGAATTGCATATTTCCTTATTATTCCTCCAGGCTTGATATTTGTTTGTATTTTTATGTGTTTTTTTAAAATGTTTATTTATTTATTGAGAGAAAGAGAGAGAGAGAGAGAGAGAGAATCCCAAACAGGCACCAAGCTGTCAGCACAGAGCCCAACACTGAGATCACGACCAGAGCCGAAACCAAGAGTTGGATGCTTAACCAACTGAGCCTCCAAGGTATCCCTATTTGTATTTTCTAAAGATAATGTCAACATGATACCTCTTCTGGATACCTTTATCTTTATACCTTAAAGAAATGGACTTTCTCTAACGAATCCAGAGTAATATAAATCCTCTTCACCATCAACAACCTCTTTTTTCTCTTCAATAAGAGAATTTGATCTTTTTTCTTGTACAAAAATTTTCTAGTGTCAGTTGAAAGCCCTGGAAAAATAGAACTCAGCAACTATATTTTACATGGTATTACTCATCTCGTAGCAATTGCATGCTTCAGTGCTTTAAGAAAGATTTTTAGATTTGTAATAAACAGTAGTCCACACCGTATCTGTGGTTCAGCTTTCCATGGTTTCTGTTACCCACAGTCAGCCTCGGGTTCAGAAGCAGATGACCCTCCTTCTGACATATCACCACTGTCATGATGCCTACATCATCAGTAACTTCATTTCAGCCCATCATGTAGGCATTTTGTCTCACATCCTCACAAGGAGAAGGGTGAGTGCAGTAAGATATGACAGAGAGACCACATTCACATAGCTTTTATTACAGTGTATTGTTAGAAGTGTTCTATTTTATTATTAGTTAGTATTGTTAATCTCTTACCATGTATAACTTACAAATTAAACTTTATCATATGTATGTATGTATGGGGAAAAATAGTATCTATAGAATTCAGTACTGTCCATGGTTTCAGGCATCCACTGAGGACCTTGGAATATATCCTCTGCAGATAAAGGGGACTACAATATTTCTTAAATATGTATAATTTCTCCCCACTGCCTTGTGCATTACTCAAACTTGTCCATCTAACACTCAAGAACAAAGTGCTATTTTTCCTAACTCTTTGGCTTACTAGTAAGAAAGGCATACATTGTCATCATTAACTATGAAATGCATCTATGATTTTTAAAATATGTTATTTTATAGCCTGACAAAGACTAAGGTAAAAAATAAGACACAAAAGACATAAATTAATGTTAACAAAAAGCTTCCTGGGGAAAATATTCCTTCCTGCTTGCTTTACTCACTTAGAAGTTTTGAAAGGATGAAGACTTCCCCAGAAAGGACTGGGGAATTTCAGAAGAACTAATAGGATACATTCACAAATCCTTATATTGAAATGCTATTTTAATATATTTCAATTGGAATTATTCAGAAATCCTCTTTCCTCCTATTTCAATACGATTTAACCTCATTGGTAGCCAAATATTTATGCTACAACAAATTCTTTTGGTGACTAATTCCTGCATTTCAAATAATGACTTTTTTACAATTTTATTTAAATTTAGGGTCTGTGAAGAAAGTTTCTGTTTTAGAGCACTCCATTTGGAATTTTGAATTAAATAAAGTGGGCCAAACAGGCATTTGTCTTGGGTTCTCCTAAAACCCCATTAAAATAACAATAATGATTTTTTAAAGAATAAATGCATAAAAACAGAAAGAATGAGAAGGAAGACAACAGCAGAATTGGAGAGGTTGAGAAACAAGACAGGTGAATTATAACTGATTTAGAGACTAAGAGAAACCTTAAATTAAAGATTAATCAACTCATAACTCAAGAATTGGAAATAACATGTATACCTGATCATGGAACTGGCTAGTAGATACAGTATTGGAAATACAGAGTTACATAATACTGTCTCTGAAAAGTTTTCAGAA